GTTCATGTCTTTGATGTCATACTGGCTCCATGCGGTAAACAGCATACCTTGTGTCTGCAGCACTTCATTCAAAAATATACGTGAAATATAACACTTCACATGTATAATTTATAATCATTCAAATCCTCATTATATACTTTGTCTGAGTTGTCGTTATAGACGGTCCGAGTTGACTTGGTTCAAGTTGTGTACAGACAGGGAAACTTATTTTGGGGATTCTGTGTCAAGACAATTTTACGGTTTGGCCTATCATATCATCAATGATCATATAGCTAATAAATGCAGTCTGAAAAATTTAAACTAATAAAAATACCACAAACCAGTGTTTTTTTCATAGACAGAAACATTCTGTTCATCCAAAGCCTGTAAGCACTGAAAAGTAGACATATTTGCTTTTCAAAATCATGATAATATGTCAAAATTGTTTAAATACCTTTCCTTTATCAGTAGTTATTATAGATCCATTTTGTCAAACAATTTGAATTCTGATCAGCCATAACTTTTTATTATTTTGAATTTTTGTCACCTGTTTAGTATTGTAAAACACAGAACTTTTGCGGTCAATTTTGATTAAACTGATTTTCTGGTTCAGTTTAAATAGAAAATTAAATAATCAGTGATAAAAAGAAATATCAAAATCCTGTACCTTACATGAGGGGCCTGATGCGGGGGTCTCATCACGATTCACGAGTTGATTTTTTTGTCATTCACGATTCACAGAAAATAAATTTCCATGATCACGGGTCACGAAAATATAAAAAAAAAAAAAATCTGTGGAAAAACGGATCACGATAGCGAAAATGCGCCGATCACGAAGAACGAAAATAACCCATCAGGCCCCTCTTACATGCCCTGCATACCTAAGTGCCTGTAAATGTTACAACTCTGTGACTGGTTAAAGGTGAGAAATGAGCACTACATGTATAAACAAACATCTTTCACTGTTCATGCTGTTCATTTACATTGTGTGTACATGTAAAATGAGAAACAATTCAAATGAGAAAACTAACGACCTAATTTAAAAAAAAAACAATTTATGAGAAACAGGTATGACAGACATGAACAAACAGCTATCACTAAACTATAGGCTCCTAACTTGGGACAGGCACATAAAGAATGGGGTTAAACATGTTTATAAACTCTCAAATTTCCCCCTAACCAACTGGGAAAGTGGTTTAACAACACATTCATGACATTGTTAACATTAACAATGAATGTCGAAATCAAAAATTATATTATTTTATATTAAAAAATGTATCATTTTTATTAGTAACAATGAATTTCATTGCATTCTTCTTTAAACCTACTTCTCTTTCACCATTTTCACATGTTTTAACACCTGTCTCATAATAGTTTAATTACTATAAGGTATGGTTTTTATACGACCGCAAAAAATTTTTGCGGTTGTATATCATGTATATTGGTATGACGTTGGCATCGTTGTTGTCCGAAGACACATTGGTTTTGGCACAATAACTTTAGTTTAAGTGAATGGATCTCTATGAAATTTTACCATAAGGTTCAATACAACAAAAGGAAGGTTTGGATTGCTTTTGGGGGTTATGGTACCAACAGTTAAGGAATTAAGGCCAAAAAGGGGCCAAAAATAAGCATTTTTGTAAATTCCAGACAATAACTTGTGTGTTAGTGTATGGATCCCTCTGACATTGTTCCACAAGGTTCCATATAACAAAGGGAATGCTAGGATTGATTTTGGGGGTAATTGCCTCAAAATTTTAGGAATTAGGGGCCAAAAAAGGGGCAAAAAACAAGCATTTTTCTAGTTTCATGACAATAACTTGTGTGTAAGTGTATGGATCTTTCTGAAATTGTACTATAAGGTTCCATTCCACAAAGGGAAAGCTGGAATTGAGTTTGGGGGTAATTGCCCAAAACGTTTAGGAATAAGGGGCCAAAAAGGGGCGAAAAATAAGCATTTTTGTCGAGCCTTCGACTTTTGTTGAAAAAGCGAGACATAGCGATCCTACATTCCGTCGGCGGCGGCGGCATCCACAAATATTCACTCTGTGGTTAAAGTTTTTAAAATTTTAATAACTTTTTCAAACTATCCTGGATTTCTACCAAACATGGACAGAAGCTTGGTTATGATCATAAGATAGTATCCAGAAGTAAATTTTAAAAAAAAATTCCTGTTTTTCCATATTTTACTTATAAATGGACTTAGTTTTTTGCCAGGAAACATTACATTCACTCTGTGGTTAAAGTTTTTAAAATTTTAATAACTTTCTTAAACTATCCTGGATTTTTACCAAACATGGACAGAAGTTTGTTTATGATCAAAAGCTAGTATCTAGATGGAAATTTTTATTAAAATTTTGTACTTGTTTATCCATATTTTACTTATAAATGGACTTAGTTTTTCTTCCAGTTAACATTACATACAGTCTGCAGTTAAATTTTTTAAAACATTTATTAGATTCATAAACTATCCTGGATTTTTACCAAACTTGGACAGAAGCTTCTTACAATAAAAAAATTGTATCGAGAGGAATATTTTTATTAAATTTTTTCCTCATCTCATTTTTGTTGAGTCTGCGATTAACAACAAAAGTAGGCGAGACACTGGGTTCCGTGGAACCCTTACAAATTTTTCTAGTTTCCAGACAATAACTTGTGTTCAAGTGTATGGATCTCTCTGAAATTGTACTGCAAGGTACCATACCACAAAGAGAAGGCTGGGATTGATTTTTGGGGTAATTGCATCAAATTATTAGGAATTAAGGGCCAAAAAGGGGCAAAAAACAAGCTTTTTTCTAGTTTCAGGACAATAACTTGTGTGTAAGTGTATGGGTCTTTATGAATTTGTACTACAAGGTTTCATATCTCAAAGGGAAAGCTGGGTTTGAGTTTGGGGGTAATTGCCCTAAACGTTTAGGAATTTGGGGCCAAAAAGGGGCAAAAAAACAAGCATTTTTACAGTTTCCAGACAATAACTTGTGTTCAAGTAAGCATTTTTCTAGTTTCCAGACAATAACTTGTGTTCAAGTGTATGGATCTCTCTGAAATTGTACTGCAAGGTACCATACTACAAAGGGAAGGCTGGGATTGATTTTGGGGGTAATTGCCTCAAAATATTAGGAATTAGGGGCCAAAAAGGGGCAAAAAACAAGCCTTTTTCTAGTTTCAGGACAATAACTTGTGTGTAAGTGTATGGGTCTTTATGAAATTGTACTACAAGGTTCCATATCATAAAGGGAAAGTTGGGTTTGAGTTTGGGGGTAATTGCCCTAAACGTTTAGGAATTTGGGGCCAAAAAGGGGCCAAAAAACAAGCATTTTTACAGTTTCCAGACAATAACTTGTGTTCAAGTGTATGGATTCTCGGAAATTGTGCTGCAAGGTACCATACCACAAAGGGAAGGCTGGGATTGAGTTTGGGGGTGATGAATCATAAGGGGGTTCAAAAAATTGGGGGGTGGATTTTTTTTTCCTTTTTTTCCTTTTTTTTTCTTTAAAATTTTCCATTTTAAGTTGGCTATTTTTTATTTATATATAAAAGCAAATAATAATGATATGGTTTGATTTCATCAAAAATTGAAATATTGGGATTCTTTGATATGCTGAATTTAACCATGTATTTAGATTCTGAATTTTTGGTCCCGTTTTCAAATTGGTCTACATTTAGGCCCAAAGGGTCCAAAATTAAACTTAGTTTGATTTTAACAAAAATTGAATTCTTGGGGTTCTTTGATATGCTGAATCTAACCGTGTATGTATTTAGATTTTGGATATTGGACCATAATAGGTAAATTAAAAAATTAATAGACCACATTCATTCTGTGTCAGAAACCTATGCTGTGTCGAATATTTAATCACAATCCAAATTCAGGACTGTATCAAGCTTGAATGTTGTGTCCATACTTGCCCCAACTGTTCAGGGTTCGACCTCTGCGGTCGTATCAAGCTGCGCCCATTGAAGCATTTTATTAATTGTAAGGTCATTCAAGTGCAGCCCATGTACTATTAGAATTAGAACATGGCCTTTTCCAAAGCGAAAGAAAATGTCAATTTTACCACATCTTCATTTGTTACATTACGTTGTCAGTGAAAATGACCTTTTGTATTTTACAAAATTTCTATTTTAATAACTCATTTCTGGTTATACAATTATTTGGGCTGCTCATGTAAAATTGAGAACGGTAATGGGGAATGTGTCAAAGAGACAACAACCCGACCAAAGAGCAGAAAACAGCCCAAGGCCACCAATGGGTCTTCAACACAGCGAGAAAATCCTGCACCCGTAGGCAGGCTTCAGCTGGCCCCTAAACAAAAATGTGTACTAGTTCAGTGAAAATGGACGTCACACTAAACTCCGAAACATATAAATGAACTAAAATTAAAAAAACATACAAGACTAACAAAGGCCAGAGGCTCCTGACTCGGGACAGGCGGAAAAATGAGGCGGGGTTAAACATGTTTTGTGAGATCTCAACCCTCCCCCTATATCTCTAGCCAATGTAGAATAAACAAACACACAGCAATACGCACAGCAAAACTCAGTTTAAAAGAAGTCCGAGTCCAATGTCATAATAGGTAACAGAAGAAACTAAGCAAAATGACAATGTTCAACATAAATTAACAAAGGACTACTAGCAGTAACTGACATGCCAGCTCCAGACCTCAGTTAAGCTGATTGAAAGATTATGTCTTCATCATATGAAAATCAAGCACAATCCCTCGTGGATATATTTTTATCATTTTTAAATATTCAGTAGCATTTAAATTTAAAATATTTTTGTCCTTTTTTACCTTTTACCTGTTCATGCTGTTTGCATTAATGAATTTGGTGAGAGAGATTTATTGCCTGGAAATAACAACATTAAATATGTTAAATCACATGACGTTTACATAAGTAGATAAATAGAATGTCTAAAATTTCATTTACTAGTGAGCAAATCAAACAGGAACTGAAGTAGTTAGAAATTAGAAATTTATAGATAAATAAGGTAAAGACATCATTCAGAAAAGTTTTTTTTTCAGCTATGAATTGAGGATATAGATCAAACAACAAATAAAGATCAAGATGTACAGCTTTAGTAAATCCTCACCCCCAGCATCACCAACATCATCCACACATTCATCATCCTTTAATTCTGTTGATGGTACACATGATAGCAGGAATGAAGCTAGACTTACAGCTACAGCTAAACGACAGAAATATCTCAAAAGATTGTGTAAATTCAGACAGATGGACTTTGAATATGCCTTCTGGCAAATGATCTATTTATTCATATCTCCACAAAAAGTGTAAGTGTTATTTTATAGTGTTGTTCATTTGAATTATTATAACAGGTTATCAAAGTATTAGTAACAGTGTTCTCTCCACTATTTCATATACATGATCATGATATAGCATCCTGGTAAACAAGGAATGTTGAAATAGCATTTTGTTTCTAGAAATTATAGCATCTGATCTATATAAACACAATCTACATGAAACTATTAGATTATCATTTCAAATAGCATCACATTTAAACAGTATAGCATCACATTTAAACAGTATAGCATCACATGTAAACAGTATAGCATCACATTTAAACAGTATAGCATCACATTTAAACAGTATAACATCACATTATTATGGTGGTAAAAGACCCAGGGGAGACCACTGGAGGTAAATTGTATCTGTAATAATGTGTTTAATTGGTTGAAGAACCAATGAATATTTTTTCTTTGCACACATATTTTGTAAATCACTGCACACATAGATTTGTTGGTAATTAAGTCTCCCAAACGAAGTTTGGGAAGACTTATTGTTTTTGCTCAGTTCTTATTATTATTATTATTATTCTTCTTCTTCTTCTTCTTCTTCTTCTTCTTCTTCTTCTTCTTCTTCTTCTTCTTCTTCTTCTTCTTCTTCTTCTTCTTCTTCTTCTTCTTCTTCCGCCGCTTTTAAATTTGAACTTGTCCGCACCCGTTCTCCAAAACCGCTTGTCAGATTAACTTAGGGTTTCACAATATGTCAGACTAACATGTCTAGTGGTGCAATCAGGGTTTTGTTTGTGCAATGGGGTTTATAAAGGGGTACTTTGAGGGGCAAAAAGAAAAGAGGGTTTTACTATAGAACCCTATGGGATTTTATTTTTTTAAATTTTCAAATGATTATAAATTGAAAACCATTTGTGATAGACACAATCTTTTTAATTGAAAATGTTCTAAATGATAAAGCCCATTAAATGAAATACAGGGTTAGTCCCCAGGGGTCACCCCCACCCCCTGCCATTTAAGAAAGTTCTAATACCTTGTAAGTGGTCAAGATCCCCACCCCTAAACCATATATATTTTGGTTTGTTATGCTAAGATGGTTTGAATGATAAACAGGGTTAGTCCCCAGGGGTCACCCCGACCCCCTGCCATTTGAGAAAGTTCTAATATCTTGTAAATGGTCGAGATCCCCACCCCTAAACCATATATATTCTGGTTTGTCATGACAAAGCACATCAAATGAAATACAGGGTTAGTCCCCAGGTGTCACCCCCACCCCCTGCCATTTAAGAAAGTTCTAATATCTTCTAAGTGGTCAAGATCCCCACCCCTAAACCATATATATTCTGGTTTATCATGCTAAGATGGTTTGAATGATATACAGGGTTAGTCCCCAGGGGTTATCCCAACCCCTGCCATTTGAGAAAGTTCTAATATCTTGTAAATGGTCGAGATCCCCACCCCTAAACCATATATATTCTGGTTTGTCATGATAAAGCACATCATATGAAATACAGGGTTAGTCCCCAGGGGTCACCCCACCCCCTGCCATGAAGAAAGTTCTAATATCTTCTAAGTGGTCAAGATCCCCACCCCTAAACCATATATATTCTGGTTTATCATGCTAAGATGGTTTGAATGATATACAGGGTTAGTCCCCAGGGGTCATCCCGACCCCCTGCCATTTGAGAAAGTTCTAATATCTTGTAAATGGTCGAAATCCCCACCCCTAAACCATATATATTCTGGTTTGTCATGATAGAGCACATCATATGAAATACAGGGTTAGTCCCCAGGGGTCACCCCCACCCCCTGCCATTTAAGAAAGTTCTAATATCTTGTAAGTGGTCAAGATCCCCACCCTTAAACCATATATATTCTGGTTTGTCATGCTAAGATGGTTTGAATGATATACAGGGTTAGTCCCCAGGGGTCATCCCGACCCCCTGCCATTTGAGAAAGTTCTAATATCTTGTAAATGGTCGAGATCCCCACCCCTAAACCATATATATTCTGGTTTGTCATGATAAAGCACTTCAAATGAAATACAGGGTTAGTCCCTAGGGGTCACCCCCACCCCCTGCCATTTAAGAAAGTTCTAATATCTTCTAAGAGGTAAAGATCCCCACCCCTAAACCATATATATTCTGGTTTGTCATGCTAAGATGGTTTGAATGATATACAGGGTTAGTCCCCAGGGGTCATCCCGACCCCCTGCCATTTGAGAAAGTTCTAATATCTTGTAAATGGTCGAGATCCCCACCCCTAAACCATATATATTCTGGTTTGTCATGATAAAGCACATCAAATGAAATACAGGGTTAGTCCCCAGGGGTCAACCACACCCCCTGCCATTTGAGAAAGTTCTAATATCTTGTAAATGGTTGAGATCCCCACCCCTAAACCATATATATTCCTATTTGTCATGTCTCGAACATTTGAATGACGTATACGGTCAGTCCCCAGGGGTCCCCCCCCCCCCCCCACCCCCAATGTTCTAATATCTTGTAAATGGTTGAGATCCCCACCCCTAAACCATATATATTCCTGTTCGTCATGTAATGAACATTTGAATGACGTATAGGGCCAGTCCCCATCCCTCATGCATATAACTTTACTGGACCAAACGAATTTTCACTGGAAGTTGCCCAATGTCAGGCGACCCTGGGAATTACGAATTATGGGAGCTTCGTTTGGGAGACTTCGTAACAGCATCCTGTTACATTCATTTCTTGTTGATTTAATGAAATATAACTCTGATTGTCTAACCATGCTAACAAAAATGTTTAACTTTGATGTTTTCATGGCTGAAAAATATGTGTATGCAGCTGTTGGATGATCATGATGATTGTGGCTTTTTTGTTTACTGTTTATCATGTTTACCAAGAAAGGCAGGTGAAAGATATTGTCATGATTGTCATGAATTTGTAATAATTTTCAAAAATTCTATTTCAGGTATAGAAATTTTCAATACAGAAAAAGTAAGTGTTTTAATTATTGTTTTAAATATTGATAATTCCAGAAAGTTATTTCCAATAAACCTATAGTTCAGTTATCATGGTTATAATTTTCTCAAAATGATTTTCATATGCTATGTAGAAAGAAAGAATCTCCCAGGATGTATTAAGCACATTGGCAAATTCTTTTATTTTTAGTAGTTGGTTTATTTTCCACTGCTAATATAATAACATGAACTATGTACATTGTTTGATAATATTTTCAATCAGAATATACAAGTTTTGTTTTTTAACATTATGTATTTGTTGATAACTGATTAACGTCCATTCCTCAAATCTAAATGTCATAAAATAATAAAGTAAGATTTCAAATCACCAGCCAATTCTGATCCCTTGTAAAAGATGTTCTTTTTCACTTCTCAAGTCCTAGACCATTTCCTTGCTTTTATGATTGACGTCCTTTTTTCTAGGCTCATGGCAATGATGTCATAAACTAATTTGCAAACGACAATTTAAAATGAACTTGGAAGATATAACTATGTGAGAGTATGAGTACAAGTTTCATTTAGAGTTGGCTATAAAAGAAAAGAATATTAAAGCCTTTCAAAATTATGTATATGTGATTGGCAAATGAGTAGAACCACATAATCTCCACATTTTTGTCCTGGAATCTCATTTAGAGTTGCATACACATATTTTTCAGCCATGAAAACATGTTGAACTAAAACATTTGATCTTAAATGGCAATTGAACACATAGTTTTTGGACAAAAACTGAGTTAACTTGCTAAGCCTTCCCCATAAAAAGAGACCAATAGGTCCTTAGCATGCCATGTACATTTACAGGATAAGGATTGAATGATTTTTCCTTGTTATTTCAGATACAAAAGATCAGTGGGCCAGAGATGATCCTGCCTTCCTTGTCTTAGTTGGTTTATGCATTCTCAGTAAGTGTAATCACAGTTTTATAATCTGATACATTCTGGGTAACATTTTTAAGGAGTACATTATAACATTTTATGAATGTTTACTTACAATATATATCCAACCAATGATGTAAATATAAAGATAAGAAGATGTGGTATGTTTGCCAACGAGACAACTCTCTACCAGAGATCAAATGATATTGAAGTTACAACTATAGGACACTGTATGTCCTTCAACAATGAGCAAAACCCATACAGCATAATAAGCTATAAAAGGACAAATAACAACTTTGAAACAATTCAAACGAGAAAGCTAATGGCCTAATTTATGTACAAAAGAATAAACGAAAAAAACAAATATGATAAACAGCAACAAACGACAACCACTGAATAACAGACTCCTGACTTGGGACAGGCACATACATAATATCAATTGATTTTGATGTATAACTGATAGATATACCAACAATCCTTCAGATTTAAGAAAAGGGAACTTTGAAAAACTTAAAAATTTTGAAATTCTATTTTATCCAGCTTCGTTTCTGACATGTCTGACATTTAAGTTTCATTGATATAAGGATGTCACATTTAGTTGCACACCCTCATCACCTTTTACTTATACAGGTAGAGGACTAAAAGTAGCATACATTCACAACAGTAACAAGCAATGAATATATTATTGTCAATTATGTTAATTATTTTTTTGTGTAATTTACCAATATGTTTTTGTTTTTGATCCGGGAGGGGGGGGGGGGGGGGGGGGGGGAGGTTGTTGTTAGTAAAACACAATGAATGATTTATACAATCAAAGTAAAGATGGTGGCCTCTAATAAATCTATCAATATTACAGAAATACAGAAGTTTTAGTAGTAATTACATTGCACTTTTACTATTTTTACACAAATAATAATGTTCATTGGCTTCGAGAAAATAGATTAAAGATAAATTATATAATTATGTTTTCTGACTATTTTTGTGCAGTCATTTACATCTACATCTCTTTTTGACTAATTTTCAACCGAGTACATATATCTGTTTAGATATTAAAAATAAATATGAATTTTTTAGGCCCCCGCCCAGGGGCATTAAGTGTTATCCCTGACCATCTTTACTTCCATCTGTCCCATTTTTGTTTCCGTACTCTCCAAATTTTATGCAACTCGTACACAATGCAAAATTAACAGACAGAGTTCGAATTTGGACTGTGAGTCACTTATCGTTCTAGAGTTATGCCCCTTTATAAGTTGAAAAATTGAAAAAAAATTTCGTTTCCACACTAACTTAAGTTTACCTCATCCAAATTTTATGAAACTCATACACAATGCTAAAAACCACAACGCACAGACATAGTTTATATTTTGACAGTAAGTCAATAACAGTACCCTGAAACTAACTGAAGTGGATTGTGAACTAGATGTCTAGATCTTATATCCTAATCTTCGTATTAAAGTGCCACATCAGTCAAATCATGCAGTAACTGCCTAGTATGCCTAAGTCCTTCAAAGTCTGACAAAGATGTATAGATAGTAATACACATTCTAGGTCCCTTGCTGCTACCCAAAATAAGGTTGATTTTCATCCCGCGCAAAAGTGACTAAAGCCCTCAAAATCCTAGCTTAAACCCTGTGACAATAACTGTTCTAGAGTTTTGCCCCTTTATAACTTGGAAAATAGCAAAGCTTGAACGGGGACATTCATGTCCGGATCCTCAGACATATTCTTCTTTTTTTTATATTGAGTTATAGTTTCACATGCTCTGATTACATAAAAAAAAGAACTGATTGCCCATATACATCTGATATATATCTTAGAATACATTGATCTTTTTGCTTGAAATTTGTAAGCAAAAATATTCCCAGAGACAAATGTATCATGCATTTTTATGAGGACAAAACAATGAGGCAACTGAGAAGGTTCTGTAAAGTGGCTTGACCAGGATAAAGAGACAGCGAATTTGGACTGCTGCTTAAAAAAGATTTTGTTTTTTTGTTTCAGTATCCTCTGTAGGATTTAGTATAGTGTTGAAGATACATTTTGTTGGATTTTTAAAGCTTGTGTTATGGACAGTATTTGTGGACTATATTGGAGTTGGACTCCTGATTGCAACAACATTTTGGTAAGTTTAAAACTTGTTGAGTCTGTTCACTAAATGGTTAAGATACATCATACATATAACCTAAATTTTTTGCCTCAATACGTATTTAGATTACTATAAACCTTTTTCAGTCTAAATTGAATAATTTGAGATATAGATGTGATGGAATAATTTTAGAATGTTTCATTACAGATTTTAAAATGCTACTGCTTTACTTTGAAAATTGTGATATACTGTTTAATGCCTGCTACAATAATTCAGTTTATGTTTGTAACAATTTCAATATGCATACAATGGGTAAATATAAACATATGATATTAAGTTAAAAAGTTGTTTGTTTTCATAGTTTTCAAACATGTCATACCGATATATTTATATTAATAAGATTTTACATAGTTGTCCTCTGTGCAATGCAGTTAAAGTGATATAGAAAACACAAATGTCTGTCTGTCTGTCTGTCCATCCTTGTCTTATGTTCGTCCTTCTGGTAATTAACTGCTCTCGTGTAAAATTCCTTTCAGATTTTTATGAAATTTATATCAAAGGTTTATATCAGCAATGTCTCGGACCAGTTCAAAACACAGTGCCAATCAATTATTTTTAAAGGAGCAATGCCCTTTAAAATTATATAGATAATTGCATTGTGAGCAATCGCATGCCTACATTTCTTATAAATAATAAAACTTTAGAAGAACCTTAACAAATTTTTAGTTATTGCCCTTGGACAGATTTAATATTTTAAATGGTGGGGACATTGAATTGCTGTAGTTTTATTTAGATTTCATTCAATCAAAATTTAATATAGAAGTGAAAAATGTTTATATATATCAATATGAAATAACTAAAACATAGATGTATATAATACAAAGATAAGGATAATTGGTATTATTATCAATGGGACAACTATATATATATATATATCCAGGAAATACCAAGGATAAGAATGTAAACAACGTGTCATGGAATGATGTCCAAAAATAAATAAAATCCTTATCATCATGCATGTCATATACTGATATATTTATAGCTGAAAAAGCCTAGGATGAAATAAAGAAGGAACCAATATTATAAAAAAAAAATATTTATGAGCATGTTTGCAGAGATGTCATGAACTCACTGAACGTAATATTTTCATAACTTAAAAAAACTTCTACAGCAGGAATATTTATCTTAAAACTTGTACTAAATTGTAACACAAATATATACATTTTAGGTACCTGTAAAGCGTGAAACGAAATAGAAACGGAACAAAAACGAAACAAAATAGCGGAAAACGAAACTAAATACAGCAAAACGAAATGAAATGAAATAAATATTTATTTTATAATTCTAACTTAAATATCTGCCAAATGTCTTATAATACAATATGTTTGTGTGTTGCAAAGTTTGCATGCATCTGAATTTCATTGTTTTAGTTGGAACAAATCAAATGAAACCGGCAGAGGGGCGAATGTTAATTTTAGGGGAAGGGGGTCATACATACTGGTGTTTACTGCCTAAGTGTTAAGTTTTTACACGTTGTTTTGATTGATAAAAGTTTTTACGGTAAAATATTACCCTAGAAAGAAAAAAAGGGGTGGTACATCTGAGATAAATAATATAAAGTGGACTATATTTCAGAACTGGGATATTGAGGACACACACGTGGGTCTCAATCTAGATTTGAGGTTCTATGACTAAATGAAGGTATACACAGACGTGCCGCTGGAATGGGTCCCCTTTTTATATTTAAATTATATAAATGGCATACACTGAATTTCACTGAGGTCAAATATCAAGAGGTCATCCTCCGAGTTGTAATAGATGTTGGTTTAAATGCAGTTTTATGGTTTTTAGGCAGTTAAGCTGCCTTATGCTACCACCCTAGATTTGTTTTCTTCCCACTGAATGGTGTAAAAAGTGCTATTGTTATTATCTAGCTGGCTAAAGTATAATATGTGATTACTGAGAAAACTATATATAGCTATGAATGGGTCATGATTTTGCCATCGGAAACATATTAAGTGTCTTGATTTTTTCTCAAGGTTTTATTTTATGAAATTTGGGTGTTTTCCCAGCTGAACTACTGTACCCAAAATCCCATGTTCAGATTGACCCCCACTCCCCGTGATTGAGAAATAACCTTCATTAAATGAGAGTGGCTTGAAAGATTTTCCTTGTTCAATCCTAATATTATTGAAAATTAATAGTTTTGGGCTAAACGTTCGGGAAGTTTTTTTTATCATTTGCGGATTTACCTGGGACATTAGACATGTAAGATAAGATAAGATATATTTTATTACCAATTAAGGTCCCACAAGGAGCATATAGAGAATACATGAATAAGGAAACAGAACATTGATTAGCATAGATACATAGAATTTAGATACACAATTACAATACAAGTAGACTGTAATGAAGCCCTTGTTTTAAATTATAGATAAATATGATCGTGCCACTTGTAATCCCCCGCCGTTTTTCCCTTCCACCAAGGAATTTACCTTCACGTACTGTTGCACCCAAATTAAACACAGAATGAAAATATAAAAATATCTATGATTTCACCGCCAAAATATTGAGAAATAAAGTATAGGACATTCATATTAAGTTGCACATTGCTAGAACACAATGAAATATCCGTACCAATGTTAAAATCATAATACAAATAGACAGGAAATACGAAAAAAGTCAAAAAAGCATTGCATAAGAAATATATCTGCAAAACGTATATATATTTATAAAGGTGCATATCACGTATGTTTACATCATTGTTGCTTTCTGACCTGAAGAATTCTCATAAAACTTATCTGGTATATCTATCTCCTCTACAAAGTATTTAGCAGTCTGTGCCAAGTATGCAAGTTAAATGGTTACAAAATGTTGATTATGGCTACTCAAATGTTCCTAAACCGCATTTTTCTTCACCAGCAGACTGTACTATAGCTATACAGTAAGATTACTAAGTATACGCACACTCGGCGGAGGAAAGGAGATTTAAACCCAAGATAAGTTCCACTTCATTGGGCTTTATTTTTTGGAATTTTAGCAATTTCTGCTTATTATCGCATGCATAGTGGAGAAGTTGATCTCACTGAGGATAACATCCATGGCGTACACAAATCCTTAATTGATTGAAATTGTAAAACCTGACCCAAAATAATCATGAGTTCACTAGAAAGATCAGAAATTATCCAGCATTTGCATATTTAATTTAAGAGACCCTTAAGTGTCAAGAAAAAAAAAACCAGATCATACCATAAACTATCCTATTTAACTTGAAATAAATCCAATAAAATTTTACTTAGACAAACATGTGACAAAAGGGAATTTGCATAGAATACAAAACACGTACCCGAAATCTAACATTCTGACAAAAAGGCTACCCGAAATCTGCTTTCAAGACCATTGCAGACCCGAAAGACCAATGCCAACCCGAAATTTCTTGAAACTCACAAAAATGACCAGAATTTTCCTCACATAAACAAACTGTAGTTATCCCCAACCCTCCCAGTTCACCCGAGAAGACAGTCATCACTCGTAACCAACCTTGGTTTACACATCCATACCTAGACCTGACAGCGAAATAAAGCGTAAACAATGATCTATTATTAATGCTTTCGATCGATATGGGTGACTCACAGCCTAATGTCAGCCCGGGAGCAAATATTTCATGTTCACGACAATAAATAAACCAACATTACAATGTGTAATGTTCTTTACATGTAGGAACTACTTGTGATATATATCAATAATATTTCTTATAAAGTTGCATTACTATCATCACATATGAGTTTGACGACTATTTAGACTCCCTACACCCATAGGTCATGGTCGAGTGATTTTCAATTTATAACCAATTTTAAATGTTAAGTTTTCTGCTAAAGTTAGTTTTATAGGAACTACTTACACATGTTACAATAGACAACAATATTTTCTATAAAGTTACAATACTGTCTGTTCATCTCAGTTTGTTGACCATTTCGAGGACATGATTGAATACCAAGACATACAAATATATCAACTTAATAGTGTTTTCATTGTTTATAAAATGAATATTCTTTTTCCAGGTTGATTTCAAATAAGTATATGATAATGGCTCCACCCAGGGGACAGGACGTTGAATGGGGTTATGCGTTTGATGTACATTTGAATGCCTTTTTCCCATTATTGATGATATTGCATCTATTCCAGCTGGTATTTTTAGGACGTAAGTATTTTAAATGTAGAGATATTCACACAGAATATATATAGAATATGACTTTGAATCTAAAACAGTTCCATTTTTTAGTCATGTTAGTTAAATTCTATTAAATATATCCATTACATTTATGTTTGAATGATCTTCAGCTAAGACAAAAGGTATGTGCAGTATGAAACACCAACAGGGAACGAATAACTGATTACTTTTTGTAGCTTATACATTGTAATGCATATTAAGCTGGTTCCCGGCTGATTTATATACTTTTGTTATTCCCGTAAATACAAGTGGATTCCAGTTTATGTTATGCAATACTATGAAAAGAAAAGAATAATTTGTAATTAAGCATTTAATTTTGATATTTATCAGTTAATATTGGATTTTGAATTAAATTTGCATATTGATATGGATTTATACCGGTAGGTAAATTATTAGTTTTGAAAATTTTAAGGGTGCTCTCTACATTTTCAATAACAAACATGGTGGAACGTAAACAAAGCTAGCAAAATCGAGTTTTTCTCTTATCTCTTGCTTATTGTACTCTATAATCCACACCCCTGCCTTTCAATATTAATTTTGGAGAAAGAAACATGGATTATATAAGCCTGAATATGGTAGGTTCATCATTCATATGTGTGTGCAATTTACAAGAAAATAGTTTTTCTAATACCAGACATTTGTTCAAACTTTTTATTTCATTTTCATATTTCAGCATTCATTAATGCAGGATATTTCCTGGGACTAGTGTTTGGTAACACTTTATGGCTGGTTGCAATCATGTATTATATTTACAACACATTTTTAGGATATAGTGGTATGTATTATCAATTTGTTTGCTACAATTTGATACCGGTAAATAAAAGTTATATTTATATTATGTGCAAACAAGACAGCATCTCAGTGGCACCAAATGAAAAAAAAAAACAACATAAGGCATCAAAGCTAAATTAAACATGCTAAACTAGTTTCTCTACAAGATAATCTCTAAATCATCCCAAGTCTAGAAAAACTTATAACTAAATTTAATAGACTTCAGATCTGTCGGCAACACCAAATTCTCTAATGAAATGAAAGCATTCATATTTACCTAAAGACAACCACTTATGACATCTAGTGTGAGCTGTTGCCATCATTTGGCATCATTATCTTTCAATTATTTTTTTGCCCTAGGCGTTTTAAGTTTTACCCTTGTCCGTCTGTATGTACGTCCCAAAATTGGTTTCCGTTCTCTAACTTGAGTTTGCCTCAATCAAATGTTATGAAACTTATACACAATGCTTATTACCACAAAACACAGATCAAGTTTGAATTTTGGTGGTGTCACTTTAAACGTTCTAGAGTTATGCCCCTTTATAAATGGAAAAATTGTAAAATATTTAGTTTCCCTTCTCTTACTTAAGTTTGCCTCAACCAAAGGTTATGAAACTTACACACAATGCTTATTACAACAAAACACAGATCAAGTTTGAATTTTGGTGGCGTCACTTTAACCGTTCTAGAGTTATGCCCCTTTATAAATGGAAAAATTGTAAAATATTTAGTTTCAGTTCTCTAACTTAAGTTTGCCTCAACCAAAGGTTATGAAACTTACACACAATGCTTATTACCACAAAACACAGATCAAGTTTGAATTTTTGTGGCGTCACTTTAACCGTTCTAGAGTTATGTCCCTTTATAAATGGAAAAATTGCAAAATTTTTATTTTCTTCTAAATATCAAGCAATTTTTAAAAATTGGAGTTATCTTCCTTTGTCCATGATTATAGTTGAATGAACTACAATCAATGCTTTATACAATGCAATGTTTAATTTTGACTTCCACTGATAAAACACAGATCAAGTTGATTTGGGTAGTGTCACTTTAACCATTATTGAGTTATGCCCCTTTATAATTCGAAAGATTGCAAAATTTTTAGTTTCCATTCTGTAACTTAAGTTTGCCCAAACCAAACATTATGAAACCTATACACAATATTCATTACTACAAAACTAAGATCAAGTACAAATTTTTTGTTTCTGTTTTCTAACTTTAGTTTGCCTCAACCAAATGTTATGAAACTTATACACAATGCTTATTACTACATAATACGTAAGTACTAAATTTGATGGCGACACTTTTACCATTCTTGAGTTATGTCCCTTTATAAACATAAAAATTGCTGAATTTTTCGTTTCCGTTCTCTAACTTTAGTTTGTCTCAACCAAATAAAACTTATACACAACCGTTCTAGAGTTATGCAAGTTTACAAATAGAAAAATTGCTGAATTTTTCGTTTATGTTCTCTACTTAAGTTAGCCTCAACCAAATGTTATGAGACTTACACATGTACACAATGCTTATTACCACAAAACTCAGATCAAGTTCAAATTTGGGTAGCGTCACTTTTACCGTTCTTCATTTATGTCCCTTTATAACTATATGATATGCAAACGAGGGCATCATCTGTGTCCACATATATATGCATGTGGACACTATCCACATTTATTTTTTTAAATTTAATCATCTTCTCAGCAATTATGACATGCAACTTTACATTGAATATTTAATAAATTCCCAGAGAATTTGGTTTTTAATACCAAATGAATATTCATAACCAGACTTGCCAGAAATAATGTATGGATGGCAGTGTGTAAGATATCTTCCTTAACCATAAACACCTTGTCTCATCTGTTGACATTGACTCTCTCTTGCCAAATATATAACAGAATTAATACAAACATCAGCGAAACAGTACCAAAAAAAGACAATGTTTGTGTATCTATAGATATAAGAAGATGTGGTATGAAGGCCAATGAGACAACTCTCCATCCAAGTAGTTCCCTTTATATGGGTTATCAAGATGAATATTCAGCTATACAGCAGTGTGTGAAACCTTTTTTTCTTAGAACTTGCCAATTTGGCGAGCAGCTTTTCATTTCAACTCGCCAAATTGAAATCCCACTTGCCAGCTTGGCGAGTTTTTAAAATTTTGAAAGATTATTTTGGTGACCTTTTCCTTCCTTTCGTGTTATTTAAAAGCTGAATAAATTTTCTGCTTATTTTTCAATGCTGTTCTATTAAATATCCATTATTAGAATTAAGTTTTTGTTTACTGTTTATAGGAAATTTACTCTCGATTCAATCTTCAAAACATATTTTAAAATTACATTGACAACATGCAAAAAGAAAGTGAAAGTAAATTTCTATGTCTATAAAACACCTTTTGATTAGTTTAAGTTTTTCATACAACTGTCATCTAGCCAATCAGAACACATGTAACATAATATGTATCATCTGGGTTCCTATTTAAACAGAAGTCATGGATAACAGTGTAGATTTTGCGGGAAAACAATCTTTTTGCTTGCATGATTCAAAGTTGCCGCAGAAGAGTCACTCGCCACAAGGGCGAGTTCTATTGAATCTGGACTCGCCAAATACAATTCTTACTCGCATTTGACGAGTTGGCGAGCGGAGGTTTCACACACTGTACAGCGATAGCATCATGATTTGTTATCAATAAGACAGCAAAAAAAATGACAATATGTTTATGGTTCCCTTTATATGGGTTATCAAGATAAATATTCAGCTATACATCGATAACATCATGATTTGTTAGCAATATTACATTGTGCAATTTATGTATTGTCTTGGAAAGTTGCAGTATTACCAATTGATATTCATATTATCATGAAGTTTATCAATAAAATATATGTATATTTGCAGCTTTGCCGTTTTTGAAGAATACCAGAATCATATTATATCCAGCTACAGTTGTTGTTTTTTTCTATATACTGTCTGTTATTTTAAAGTGGAATTTTAGCAAAATGTTATGTGACTTTTACGAATACAGAGTTTTCTGATCAAATTATTGTCAAACAGTCAAACAGGATATAATTATGTGACAGAGATTGGGCTTATAACATTGAATAATTGCTGTGAATTCATTTTTGTTGGTACCAATTTTTGTGGATTTTGGAAAACATTGTGTTGATACTTGATGTCATAGTTTTGACATGTGGTAAAGCCTATAGGAAATTTATATTTGATTAAACTCTCTAATTCATGATTCCTCTCATGAAATCCACACAAATTAATACTCAAAAATGATATTCAATCTACAGTATACAATGGCCTGTCATATATATGACAGAAATCTTCATTAATTTGAGCACTTGAAATGGTATCGCATCATTGTTAATTTTTTTTTTTTTTTTTTCTCATGAATAACGACCTTGTCATTTGTAAAGATAGATTTATAAAATGCAAAGACATAGATAAAAGAGGCAATGTGAGGTACATTGATGAGACAGCATTCTTTATACACAATATCACCAGATTTTCTGAAAGTAAAAAGTAACATATTGCCCTGGTATTATCTTGTTGACAGACATTGATCACTTGTAATATGTTAGAGCTTTTTAATCTGTCAAACACTGGCCTTCTTTTTACTGATACTTTGAACAACAAGTCTTATTATGCTTAGCACAAGAAGGCATGCAACTTCTTGTTATAATTTAATTTGAATTTAATTTTAAAAAACACGACCATATCACATATGTTTAAATTGTTTGTTATTCGAATATCATATTGTAAAAGTTACTTCATCTTTTTTATGTATTTTAGAGGGATTAAAATGTTCACATAGCATTCTATTTGTAAATATATAATAAATTGATGCATTGCTTGTGACCTATTTTGTAATAAAACCTGTAAACACTTGCTTTTTCTTTTTTTGTTTTAATTAAGAGTTCAGTAAATATTATAGTTTGGTTTAATTAATACAGCTGACCAAAGTTAAACACTATCTTCTGACTGATTTAAGTATTAATGACAAGAATTAGTGAAATATATTTTCATCTGCTATAAAAAAAAAAGCTGAATGCAAGTAATGTATTATTGTATATTAAAACTAAAAAAAAACAATCCACAAAACTTAACAAAGATACTATGGGCAGAAAGCTCCAGCATTTTAGCTATATTTATTTTTAGTACAATTTGTTTGAATCAGCTTTGTTTTTTGACTAAGTATTTCTCTTGTATTCCTGAAACTAGATATGTATGTCTCTTTCTTCGTTCTATTTTTGAATTAAAAAGATGCATAGAAAGAGAGAGACAATAACAAGGGGGCAATCGAAAATCATCAGTCCAATAAAAACAGACAACACCATACCCAAAAAGAAAAAAAGTTACAAAAAGGCGAACAACAATTACAGAGCAAAACACAGAAAACTGATAATTGAGCATCACAAACCCCGCCAAAAACTGGTTTGAACTCAGGTGCTCCAGAAGGGTAAGCAGATCCTGCTCAATGAATGGCATCTATTGTGTTGTTCATTGCAAGTTAGAATATGTCGATAATTCACATTCTGTAATAACCCAAAAGAGGGGTTAACACACAAGTTGAACATATCAGTAGCCATTTATATAAAAGATCTTTTTATTCCTCATTAAGGATGAAGGGGTAAGTGTAAAGGATGAACTTCACTTCAAAATTAGAGATTTTGAGATTTTAAACATTCCAAAAATCTTTGTAATATTTTTTACAAAAGAAGACTCATCTCTTCTTGTGGAGAAAACAATGCCACAGTATTTCAGATATCCTAGAGTTTTGAATAGATAGTTAAATAAAAAATGACCAAAAGTAAAGCCAAACTTGAAAAAGGAATAACAGCTATGCATGAAGGAATATATTCATTAAATTTCAAATGACAGAATATCTCTGCCTCCTGCAAAGCTCAAATTTATATATGTGAAGTTAGCAGCTGGTTTGTTATTCGTTATTCGACATTCAATATCCTACTGGCTGCAAGTAGCCGCTTCGATATTTCAAAATTTCTTAGTCAAAAGTAATTAAAGTTTGAATATTAGATTGTATACAAAATGGTAGTAGGAGTATAAAAACATGTAGAAAATCATTTTGTGGCCCCTGCAAGTTATCGCAAATTCTTGTTGTAAATTGTTAACCCTTACGTAAATCAAAATTTCCCTTTTATGATTAATGCAATCAAAGATTTAATTTTAAAATATGCTAAAACTAACATACACTTTAGTAACATTTGAAAATATAAATAGAGATAACTATGGTAAGCCAAATAAAGATATTTTCGATTGCTAGATATTAAGGATGTACTTAGGTCAGGTTTAGGAATTTTTGTCAGATGTTCAGACTCCTTGGTTTTTTTCTTACGATACAGGGTAAAATATTATGCCCCATAACACGCATTTTTCTTTTCATATAAGACTTCAATAGCTCATAAAAGGTCATTTACCAAAATTTAGGCAGATTCTAGATTTCTTTTCCTTCGATTTGAGACCCAAATAATACCAATGCAAATATAAGGTAAAAGTCCGAGTCAGCCTTTTCTCGCCATTTAAAACAAATTAAATATCTCGAAAAGGAGCTCCATAACCTATCAATATTTTTAGCTTATTTTGTTCCTTAACTAATGCTCTTCTGACTTATAGTATCAATTTTAAAATCTAGTTTTTTTTAATTTCACCTAAGTACATCCTGAAAATGTATATATTTTGAATATCAAACTGTCTGTAAACATCAAAGACATGTAGTTTCCACAAATACTGTTGATGTTATTTGTATCTATATGTTATCTAGCTAACTACATGCATAATACTATGGAGATTTAAAGATCAGGAAGGTCTAGCTTTTAAACGCTCTGGGCTCATTTACCTTATATCAAGTCAATCGAAAATACCTTTTTTTTTGGCTTTGTATTAAATACAATACAAAGGTAACAAAGAAACAGGCCGGTAACAACCGTTGTTTCCATTTATATTTTCAAATGATACTAGAGCGCCTGTTTGATTTTTACATTTACAATATCAAGTTTTAAAAGTACGTCTTTGATTGTATTTTTCATCAGAAAAAAAATTATTATTCACAAAGCGGAAATTGTTATTGATGTCAGGCTTTATTTTTTTTGTAGGACATCGAGAATTCACGGTAACTTGTTAAAGTCACAGAACAAAATTTCTTACATGTTTGTTTACTCTTTTGACCTTTGACTAGCATTTTTTTTTATGTAATTTGATTTTCAAACTTTTATTAATTTTGACTCGGAAAAGTTGAATTTTGAACCGACTGCTGACAGCCGGTTAGATAATGAATATCAAATAACGATAAACGAACCAGCCGTTAACTTCACATACAATGTACATGTCTTCTTCCTGCTTTGACTTTACTTATAATCCTTTTTGTAGAGCCTGCGACATTTATGTCGCGAAAGCGAGACATAGCGATCCTAGATTCCGTCGTCGGCGGCGTCAACATTTAGGTTCAGTCTGTGGTTAAAGTTTTTTTAGACATCAATAACTTTGTCAAACCTTCATAGAATTTATTTTCATTTTTCCGTATTTTACTGATAAATAGACTTAGTTTTTTTAACATTTAACAAGTAGATACAGTCTGAGGTTAAAGTTTGTTACACATCAAATACTTTGTCAAACGGTCATAGAATGTTATGAACCTTTTTTTTTTTATTAAGAGATAATGTCTGAAGCAAACTTTTGAAAATATATTTTCATTTTCAGTATTTTTCTGATAGATAGACTTAGTTTTTTTACAGTTAAAATTTACAGACATAGTTTTTTTACAGTTAAAATTTACAGACAGTCTGGGATTAAATTTTGTTGACATTATAAGTTTGTTAGCTTCATGGATTGTTATGAACTTGGACAGAAGCTAATCTTCGAGACCAAGAAATAGCATCTCAAGAGAAAGTTTTTAAATTCTGTATTTTTTACTGATAAATGGACTCACTTTTTAAGTCAACACTACACTTTTACACTGACAGCAGCAATCATAGGCGAGACACAGGGTTCCGCGGAACCCTTTTCGATTTTTTTTACTTATCAGCTCTTCAGCGTTTTTATGATTTTTGTTTTTTTTCCACATATTTTTACCTTGAGCATCACCGAAAATACTTACATTGTCGAATTGCGCATTTGGTGCAGTAAAAGAGGTTCAGTGAATGTTATTGCTCGAATAAACAACATACAAGAAGGTGAAACTTTAAAAAGTTTACAGGAAGTTTTGTTTGGATGAAAGATTACTAAATGGAAGTGCTAATTAAAGGTTCAAGATTTTTTTCTATAGAATTAACTTAATGTTTTCATATAAATATACACCTTCGAATTAATATTTAAACAGCATACCATGGAACCGATCAGCAACCATAAGTTGAAATAGAGCATGCAATACATTTCTAAGGAAAATTTACCAACAATTAAAAAAAAAATACACTAAAACATGTAAAAGACCAACACTAACACCAGTCAGTTTTGTTCATTGAATTTCCTAAAACATATTTTTGTACGTTGGAAATTTTTTACGAAACAAAGCTTAATAGTTTTCAAGTTGTAGTATAAGGGGATGATAATTGAAATGTGTTAGAGTTACACTATTTCACAAGGAAAGGGGTTGTATATATCCATGCATTTTAAAAGTAACACAGTATGCGTCACACCTACTCTTTCTATGGTTGGTAGTGTCTAAGGATACGGATCTTTGAACACCGGTTTTGATTTTTGAGTATGGTGTACAAACAATACAACATTTGTCAAGACAAATTTTATTTCGGTATTCACAGAGTAAATAGAAATCGTGTTTTTCAGCATTGGTTGAAATTTATTAAACGTAAAACACTGTATATATAATGAGTGTAGTTGTAATAAAATTTCGAAATCATTTAAAAATTAGAAAAATTATCTCAATCGTGCATAGCTTAATTTTCTATTCCTTTTACAAGTTTGGCTTTATTGTTAGTCCTTTTTAGTTCTTCAGCGTTTGCATTATGTTTTAGAGTTTCAGTGATTTTGGCCTCGAGCATCTCTAACGAGACATTATTTGACGAAATGTGCATCTGTTGCAATAAAATTGGGATCGTTGATGTTTTTATTTGATGTGAACAAATTTTGTAGAGAAGCGGTTTTGAAACATTTGAGATCCCCAGTAATGATATTTTTATTTAAAGTAAAATATCATTACTGGGGATCTCAAAATTAAAAAAAAAACTGACTGATCTATGATAAAGGGTGTTGCTTACATAAATGGCATCTTAGTTGGCAATAGACAATCTTAGAAAAGGTCGTTTCTCATTGTCATCTTTAATGCAAGTCTGTGATGAGTAATTTCCGAGTATAAATCTGTAATTTTGCTTTAATTAAGACATAGTTTGTAACTAAAGTTTTGTAATATGAATGATAAAAAGCATGAATTAGATTAAAAACGGATGGTGAATAATAAGTTTTGCTTGCGTAGGAGATAACGATTACTGAACATAGTGTCTATATTAAAGTTGTTTAAGGTGAGGATTTATACTTTTGTATATTTTATCAATGATGGAAACTCGCATATTAAGGATTGATCTGCTTTGTTGTCACATCCGTAGTCATTACCACAGCTGGTGCGTCGTCTTGAACTGAAAAATCCTCTTGTACTGCCGGCATACACACCTATAATGCTGTTGTTGTTTTATGTATTACGTGCTACATACGAATAGGAAATGTGGTATGATTCTCATTGGGACTACTATTCACATGAATCTAATTGAAGTGGATGTAAACAATTATAGGTCACCATATGGCCGTCAACAATGCACGAAACCCGTACCTATAGTCAACTATAAAAGGGTCCGACATGACAAAATGTAAAACAAGAAACCAACGGCTTGATTTATATGATTTGATTTATGACATCACAA